AAAAAAATTGAAAGGAACGATATTGGGGATTGTTCCTTAGGTCTGGGGGGTCGTTTTTATATATAGAGCCCTAAAAACGGAGCTAAAACGAGTAAAAATGGAGAAAAATAAAAACAGGGTCGAACAGGTCGCGACTCGCAAGTTGACTCGCGAGTCGCGAGTCTGACGGGTCGTGGGGTCGCGCAGCTGGTCGGAGGCTCTGTTAAAGCCGCGACTTTTCTCTCGCGAGTCGCGACTTTGGACTGCACTACGCCATTTTACGTTTCGGACTTGTTTGGGCTCGTCCGAACTCGGAATTGAGTTCCTTTTTCTGCTACGCGTCGCTAACGAACCCATCTATCCAATTATGCTCTCGAAACCAAATTTTCCTGAAGAGAAAATTCGCCCGAAGCTCCCGACCTACACACCAAAAACGACAAAACACGAAGAAAACCGGAAAAACAAGCGAAAAAACACCTAAAGACTCAAAGTAAAGAAAAACGCATAATAAAACACTAAACAAACTAGAAACGAAAGAAACGATCTAAAATAGGGGATAAAGAAAAGCAAAACGAGCACGAAAAATGCAACAAAAATGGGACAAACACGGCCTCCATACCATAAACTAGACTGAATGGCGTCTCCCCCGTTGAAGTCCTTAGTGTCGTCCGATATGACCATAGCACCGAATCAAGTTTGTCCACCCAAGCAACTGAATCTCTCTCTAATCTAGCCTTCAACACATTTAGAATTGATGTGTTAGCGACCTGGGCCTGCCCATTCGCTTGGGGGTGGGCGAACGAAGCAAACTACTGTTTGATGCCCACTCTTCACACCAACTCATCGTATGCTGACCTCTGAACTGAGTGCCATTATCAGATATGAGCACTCGAGGGATGCCGTACCGGCAACAGATGTTGTTGAAAAGAAACTTCATCACCATTTCTTCTGTGATCGTCGCCAATGGCTCGGCCTCAACCCACTTGGAAAAGTAATCCACTGCCACAATGAGGAACTTTCGTTGGCCCATCGCCTAGGGCAGTGGTCCAACTATGTCAACCCCCCACTGAGTAAAAGGTAGAGGCGAGCTGATTGGAACCATGTTCTAGGCCGCTCGATGGATCAAGGGGCCATGCTGCTGACACTTCTTGCATTTTCGCACAAGGTCTTGTGCCATCGTCCTCATCTTAGGCTAGAAGTATCGAGCCCGAAGCACCTTCCCAACTAATGCCCTAGCCTTCAGGTGGTCGCCGCAATATCCTTCATGCACCTCCCTGAGCACGTACTCTCCGTCCTGTTCCGAGACACACCTTAGATGAGGCCCTATGTACGATCGCTTATATAGGATCCCATTTTGCAGGTAAAACCTCAATGCTCTCCTTCCAACTGGGTCGTCCTTGATATCTTTTCCCGCTACCGGATCCTGCAACCATTGTATTAAAGGCGACCTCCAATCCCTTTGCTCGTCAACTTCTAGCACCTGGTCTAAGGTACTCTTGGTCATATCCATCAACGTCACCGACCGAGATTGGCAGTCAACAAGAGACGCGACCACCTTTGAGAGTAGGTCGGCCCTACCATTTTCTCCCTGCGGGATTTGTATCAACTTCCATGTCGCGAATCCTTTTAACATCGCTTGGACCTCGACCAGATACTTCCTCATGCGCGCTTCCTTAGCTTCATATTCACCCCTGATTTGTTCGACCACGAGCTGAGAATCCGAGTGAATGATCACCTGTGGAGCTCCCTCCTTTAGAACAAGTTGAATTCCCTTAATGAGAGCTTCGTACTCCGCCTCATTATTCGACACCCTAAAGGACAGCTTAACCGCAAACTCCAAGTGGTCCTTCTCTGGTGTGACCACCAAGATGCTGAGACCTGCTCCTCCTACCGCTGACGAGCTGTCGACATACACCATCCATGGTCCCCTCTCGACCCCCAATGTGCACTCCTGTATGAAGTCGGCCAACACCTGAGCCTTAATAGCTCTTCGCACATCAAAGTCAACATTGTATTCGCCTAGCTCAACCGCCCACTTTACCATTCTTCCCGAGGCCGAAGGACGGCCTAAAGTATCTTTGAGCGGGTAATTGGTCCGCACCGTAACTTTATGCACTAGGAAGTAAGGACGCAATTTCCTGGCTGTAGAGATAAGTGCTAACGCGGCCTTCTCCACGTCTGAATATCGGCGCTCGGCGCCCTACAATATCTTACTAGCATAGTATATCGGCTTCTGCTGTCCATGCTCCTCCTTTATCAGCACTGAACTAATGGCTTCGTGCCCCACCGATAGGTACACAATTAACGTGTCGCCTGGTTCCGGTTTTATGAGTAAGGGAGAGCTCAGCTAGAAACTCTTTCAACCTCTCAAAGGCATATTGTGCTTGCGACGTCCACTCAAAACGCGACCCCTTCTTTAAGGCCTTAAAAAACAGAAAACTCTTTTCTGCAGATTGAGCTATGAACCTGCTCAACCCCGCTAGGCGTCCGGTTAGGATCTGCACCTCCTTCAAGTTCCTCGGTGCTTGCATCTCAATAACAGCTCGTACCTTCTCCAGGTTGACCTTTATGCCCCTCTCCGTCACCAAGTACCCCAAAAATTTTCCTGACCTCACCCTAAACTTGCACTTAGCCGGGTTGAGCTTCATGCCGTATCGCCGTAGGGTGCTCAAGGTCTCGCGTAAGTCTACCACATGATCATCCACCTTTCTGCTCTTTACTAGCATGTCATCGACGTAGACCTCCATATTCCGACCTATCTGCCTTTTGAACATTTTATCCACCAACTGTTGGTAAGCAGACCTGTGCTACTTTCTTTGGATTCATTAGAATCTTCAATCCGAAAGGCATGACTACATAGCAGTAAGTGCCCTTAGATGTCACAAAGTTAACCCTCTTCTGGTCCTCCTCGGCAAGAGGTATCTGGTGGTATCCCTGAGAGGCGTCCATCATGCTCAATAACTCGCACCCAGCTGTAGAGTCGACAAGTTGGTCAATACGTGGTAAAGGGTAGTTATCTTTAGGGCAGGCTTTGTTGAGGTCCCTGAAGTCTATGCACATCCTCCACTTTCCTTTCCCTTTCCTTACCATGACTGAATTAGACAACCACTCCGGGAACTGAATGGGTCGTACATGCCCCGCCTTTAACAATTTCTCCACCTCTGCTTCAATAACCACATCGAGCTCGGCATCAAAGTGCCTCCTCTTTTACTTCACCGGCCTCATAGTTGGATCGATGTTCAACCTGTGTTCTGCTACCCCGGGATCGATTCCTGTGAGGTCGTTGGCCGAAAAGGCAAAGACATCCACAAATTCCTTCAGTAGTGCAATCAACGCGCCTTGTATGTTGACCGCCAAATGCCGACCTACCTTTGTTATCTTCTCCGGATCTCCCTCTATCAACTCAACCTCCATCAGTTTATCTTGGGAGCTAATCCCCAGCTCTTGCTTCTTCTCCCGATGGGAGCACTCAGTCAGGTCGTCCTTCTTCCTCTTATGTTGTGCCTCGGCCGTCTTCAATGTGACCTCATAACACCGTTGAGATTGCAACTGGTCTCCAGTCACTTCCCCAACCTCATCCCCTACAAGGAACTTGATCTTCATGCAATAAATGGAAATGGCCGCCTGGAATGAATTCAAGCTAGGCCTCCCCAGTATGATGTTGTAGGCCGAGCTAGCATCCACGACTAGGAAGCGAACCATCTTCACCTTCCTCAAAGGTAACCTCCCCAACGCCACCGTCAAGCTAACTTCGCCCACGGGACGAACCTCACTGCCGCTGAAGCCATAGAGAGCAGTGTTGACCGGCTCCACCTTCATGTCTAACTCCATCTGTTGTAAGCACTTCAGGAAAATGATGTCCGCCGAGCTCCCCGTGTCTATGAGCACCCTCTGCACATCGTAACTAGCCACCTCCGCAGTGATGACCAAAGCGTCATTATGTGGGACAACAAGCCCCTGCACATCGTCAACTTCAAACTTTAGAGTGGTCGAGCTGCTCTGCACATGCACCTCGGCCACCTTGTTGGCAACACCCTTTCCCCGGTAGGTCCTCTTCCTCTCCCTATGAGAATCTCCATCCGTAGGACCCCCCGCGATCATGTGTATTATGCCCTTCTTAACCGGTCTATCAGGTTGCTCATCAGTCCTCCTCCGCTTGTCACCTGACTCACGCCCTTCACGGTGATCTTCTTGGCGCTCTCTATCCTTGATCACAAACTCCTTCAAATGACCGGCCCTGATGAGCCGCTCAATTTCATCCTTCAACTCTCGGCAGAAATTGGTAGAGTGGCCGTAATCGCGGTGGTACCGACAATACCTATCCTTTGATGCCGAAAATTTCCGCGGCGGGGGCAGAGGCTTCGGCTATGCGAGCAGCTTGTCCTCCCCCCGTTTTTCCATCATCTCCAGAATCTCCTGTTGTGGTGCATTAAGTGGTTTATAATGCTCGTACCTCGGACCCCTGAACCTATCCTCGACCCTAGCCTCTTTAGGGGCAGCTCGTCGATCACCCTATCGGGGCTACCTGTTTAGCCTTTATCTTTTCATTCTGAATGAAGTCTGCCTCTGATTCTTCCATATTCACATACTTGCTACACCTCTCCAAGAGCTCATCAAACGACCTCGCCGGCCGCTTTGCCAAGAAGTCCCTTAAATTTCCTGCTCTTAGGCCCCGCGTAAGCCCCCCTGCCTTTACCTCCTCTGGGGCCCTAGGAACTTCCACGCATTCTTTAGTATACCGAGCCACGTATTGTCGCAAAGTTTCACCTTCCTTCTGCTGCATATTTATCAGCGAGAGGTATGTCTTCTCCTGCTTCATAGCGCTTGCAAACTGATTCAAAAACACGGAGCTGAACTTCTCAAAATTATCGACGGATCCTGCTGGAAGCTGGTGGAACCAATCCTGTGCCGAGTTGAACTTCCTTAAAGGATGATGGACGGACATAGCCCAATCATGACTCCCCCCCAGAGGTTTCACTTTGATTCGCCCAAGGTAAAGAGCTGGCGTCTTGTTTAAAGACCGTGTAAGGGCCCGAGCCGGCTAGCATGTATAGATTGACGCGAATCGAGACTCCGATAGAACTGCTTATCTCCGGCTTACGAGCGAGCTTTTGAGCCGGCATATTGATACGTGTGGGCACAGCATGCATCTGAAAGTAGTCCTGGAAGTCGAGAGTCAGAGTTGATAGAGCCGCCTCTGGGCGTTGTGAGTTGCATTTTCGTCTCAGTCTTTCTTTCAAAGGCCTTGGCATCAGGTTCAGGTCAGGTAAAAACAACCAAGCATAAGAGGTCTTGATCAGAGGCACTTTATCTCCCTTCTTAGTATCCGAATCTTCTAGGGGTGTGTGCAAGGTTTGATCCTGGGAAAGGCCCGAGACAGGATAGACGATAACAAAAAGCGGTGGCGGTCCTTTCGCGTGGTGGCGATAGAGATGCTGACCTCGGCCGAGGAGTGGAACCAATTAGAAGGGCCCGCCAAAGGGAAAGCGCACAGGTCTTCAAAAGATATATAACTGGAGATCAAGTATTGACAAGATATCTGAAACTAGCTTCCTTTATGACTTCACTTCGCTTTCCGTACTTAGTGTACTGGTTTAGTAGGGAAGCACAAACCCCTCCCATGGAAAACAAGAACTACTTTGAGAAAAGCCGCGTCATATATCGCTCGTACGAATATATCGACCTTGCAAGCTAGGATCTAAAAACGGTAGCACAAACTAAAACAGCATTTCCCGCTTCGCCTAGGGGAAAGGAAAGTGCAGACATCTGAGCTAGTGAGCGCCAAGAAAATAACTCCCGCTTCGCGAAAATGGACTCGACATCAGACGACTTTCTGACATCTCGCTTGCTTTCACAGCTAAGCTTTGGTGGCAATTTCGGACGCAGGGATCCATACGGGATCGATCTTTCTACACTTTTGCAAGCCCTTTAAAGTAGTCAAGAAGGCCCGGCAGCTGACTGCGTCTCTATAACGATGCAAGACGGCTATATTGTCAAACGACCTTAGGTGCCGAGCAGGGTCTGTCGAGCCATCATAGGATAAGCTTAGTTCTCTGAAATTGCTTGGCAGATCTCCTCCCAGCACTTCCTCTGCAAACGGATGTCCACGTGACACTACCACCCTTTTCCTTTGTACCCGAGTGTAATGCCCCGTTTCACGTTGGAATTTTTGAGGATTTCTATTATTATTATTTATATTTAATTGTTATTATTATTATTTATTGAATGCTATAAATTATTAATTGTCGAATGTGATTTATTTGTCAAATTGCCTAATTGTCTAAATATTAATTAATTGCCTAATTGCCTAAATGTTATTATTTAATTAAAATGTGTATTTGTATTTTTACTAATATTATTATTATTTTAAAATTTAATTTGTGTGTATTATAAATAATATATTATATCCGGTTATGTATTTATCGTGCGATTTAATTTATGAGCCGATACGATTTAATCTATCAGGCCCGAGGAAAACGAAAGCTGAGCCTGAGAGCTAGGCCGAATCGCTTCTTTGAACCTGCGAGCCCGTAACCGAACCAGGCCCGAACCCGAACCGTCGGACCCGTGTGTATGTCTTGGGCTTCAAGTCTTCAACCCTAATTTTTCCCCCCTTAAACTCGCGTAATCAGATCAGAAGGCATCATCTCGCAGCCTTTTCTCTTCTCAGTTTTCTCGTTCGCTCGTTGAGCAGAGAAGGGAGATTTTTCCCTCGTATAAATCTGCTCCTTCACCCTCATCGTTGTCGTCCTCTTCTTCCGATTACCTACACCTTCTCTTGCCTTCGCCATCACCGCAACATCACCATCCCCATCATCGCCATTGTCTCCATCCCATCTTCATCCTCGCAGCATCTTCGCACCATCACCTTCGCCGCGAGTTGCTGTCCTTCATCGAAGACCCCTGCTACGAATCTGGTGAGCATCCCGTCAGGCCACGTGAACCAATCGTCGCCGCTCCTTTTCACGGGCGAACGACCACCGGCGAGCATCATCATCGGCGGTATTCTCCCTCGCGAGTCCCGCCGCTGCAACCACCTCCGATCACCCTCCATCACCCTGCAACCTCGCGAAGCTTTTCCGGCAACCTCCTTCCGTCGAGAACCAGTCCCCTCTCCATGAAGCTCCGCCTAGAAACCTTTGGCGCCGCCAGCAGAAGCTCCTCCGCGCGCCACCGCGACCCCGACGAGTTCCGACCACCTCTGCGACAAACGAGCCGCCGTGAGCCATCCTCCGATCGCGATCAGTGGCCCGCGAGCACCCCAATAGCGAGCCTTGACGACAGTCAGCCCCTCGTTTTCTGACAAACGAGCCGCCGCGTGTTGTCGAACGAACCCTACGTTCTGTTTTCGAACGAATCCCGAGAACAGTACAAGGCTCGACCCGTCTTGCTTAATCTTATATATTATTTGATGTGCTCAGTTATGTGAAATGGGTGTTAAACGTGCTTCGTGAATTTAAATTCGTGCTTTAGTTGAGTAATTGTATGAATTTTATTTTATATTCACAAATTGGATATCAAAGTGATTGCCGTCATTTTGAATAATTGTCGAACTGAATATATGTGGTTCGTTTCGTGTAAATCCTGGAGTTATAGGTAGTTGGAGTTGTCCTTGATCTGTTAGTTTTGGTTTGAAGTCGTTTCGAGTTGTATTTTCAGAGTTATGATTTTTCTAAACCGAGCATGCTGTTGAATCATAATAAATTCACCATAAATCGAGTCGTTATCCATTTGATCTGAATTTTTGATATGTTATGCCCCTGAGTATGTGCAATGTGTGTGCCAAGACCCTGAATTTATTGTTGAGTTTTTCGAGTTCAAATACTTAAAACGGTTTCTGAGCGAAAACTTTCAGGAAAATGTTATTCTGTGATTTTTTAGGTTTTGTAAAATTTCAGATCAAAATTAGAAGTGTAGCTATGCGAACTGTTAAACGCTGATTTTGGCGCTGTTTCTGCTTTAATTATTTAAAAATGCTCCCGGTTGAATTTAGGGCTGAAACTTGGTGAGTTTATGTGTTTTTGCATGTTTTATAATGTGGTAAAGTATCAGGTTGATTGGCTGAGCCTAATTCCTGATTCTAAATTTAGTTCATTTTAGAGTCTAAAGGTTCGGTTATCGGTTGTTTAGGTTAGGATTGGATTTTGTTGATGTTGGCATGACTTATGTATATTATTTGATGAATTTGAGTCATGTCCAGGTCTGGTAATAACTCCATAGTGTCTTAACTCGGTTAAGGAATCCGCAAGTGGCTTGGTCGATATGATTTCGGTTAAGTATATGTGCCTTGAGTGTTGTTTTGTACTGGGCAGTCAATGATAGGTCCTTATAAATTATTGTAGGTCCTTCGAGCTGAACTCGTGCCGTAATTCCTTCAACTTTGTGTTTGGCTATACCTCTTGCTATGCAGGTGGGTTTTATTTGAAAATTTCTATGCATTAATTAATTGTTATTGTCGTGGTATGATCAAAGTATGCATGTGAACCATGTAGCCTTCGATGTGAGCCATATTGGCCGTCGAACGGTTATCCCCGTAGCTATAGAATGTATCCGATGGAGTGTCTCCTTTATTTATGTATGGCAGTCAGGGCGTGAGCCTTGGCTGGTTATCCTCGATGTAAGTCCGAAGGGATGTTTCCGGGCATTCGGGGTGGATTTACACCCATTGTCTGGGCATCGAATGTAAAGCCCGCGGGAGATTTCGATACGTGTATCAGCGGTGGTCTATTGGTATAGGTGTGCACATGAGAGTTGACTCTGGCAAGGAGATGGGATATTAATTGATTTGTATTCATACTGCGACCATACATGCTTTATTTTATGAAGTTGGATATTAATTATTGCATAGTGGTGAGCACCTCGTTTTTCCTATTGTGCTCATCCCCACCTGCTCTTCATTGATGCAGGTTAATAATTGCGGGCACGACAGAGGGAGGCGAGTGGTGGTCATGTTATTGATTATTTCCGCTACATAAATTGTTTAATATGATTTATGCATTCCTGACTTATGTCGAGTACTGGATTATCGATACGGAGTGTACTCCTTAGTATTTATGGATTTGATGAGCCCAGTTTTGGGAGTTGATCTCATTTATGAACCCGGTTTGGGTGTTGACTATTTATGATTAATAAACCCGGTTTGGGTATTGACTATTTATGGTTATTGAACCCGGTTTGGGCGTTGATTATTTATGAATATTGAACTCGTTGGGAATTGCATATGTGATATTGTTGGAATTGTTTTTGGAAATTGAGTAGCGCCTCAAGTGGTTTGAAATAAATTTTGAAAAATTTATTCTAAATTTCGGCAAATAAAAGTGGGGCGTTACAGTTTGGTATCAGAGCCAGTCTGCGTTTCTGTAGACTGGTTAATGTGAATTATGTGATTACATACTTTGACCTCATATTTTGACCACTGGCTCTCGTCGTGCCGCGCCAGCTCAGGTATGAGTACCTGAATGATTTAAGATTACTGTGCATTGATTGGTTATTCAATACTGAAATAAAACCGGGGCTTAGGAATTTATCCTCCTACTTTTAAACGTTCTGGAACTCTAGATGAGTGGCGAACCTTAGTTGTATGAATTTGAACTCTAGCGATATAGAGTTAAGTTCTAACTTGAGGTTTTGTTTGCTTAGAAATTTGATAGGGTGTTATCTATCTGAGTTCTGTGTACAACATTTCTCTCGATGTATTTTGGTGTCTTCGGAAGAGGACCATTCGCGAGCTATCTCGAAAGGAGAGGCTTAAATGAAGGGAGCAGACAACCGAAGAAGTCTCAAGTCTGGGATATTCGGAGGTCTGTAACCATGGTTATTAAGACCATCAGATGTGTATATGCCTGTGTTAATTTTGTATTCATGAGTTTGAAATTGGTTTAAATATATGTTGTACATATGTAGACGATCTCTTCGATTTTGAGAAATCGGACGAGACCTTATCGATTCGTGATATAGTCGCTGTAGATTGGAACGTTGTATCGTCCTTAGTCTTATGGCTAAGACTTCACACGAATTCGTCGTAAATCGAGTCGTAGATAAATTGTTGAACCTTAATAACCGCTGTTTTAGTGTTGGAATTATTAAAAATTATGTATTGCTTTGTTTGCCTAGAAATTTTGAGGGTCTTGTCTTCTGCTGAATATCTAACTTGTGTTACAATTTTGTAATTTTCCAAGGTCTGTAACTATTTTAAATAATTAGAATGATTTCTGGTCAGTTTCATGTTAATTTCATAATAAATTGTGTAATGATCAAAATTGGCTGAAAATTTAGTATGTTATGCCTCTGTTATGATTGTATTCTATGTAAAATATTAATATTTGGACTAAGTTTGATAGGATAAATAATTTATTTTCTGATTCTGCAGAAAGTTATTTTATTTATCATAAATCGGTTAGTTGTTGAAAAATTCTAAAACTTGGCTGGAGTAGTTGATATGTGTGTTTTCATGATGTTAAACGATGAGAATTTTTGGAGTTCAATTTGGTTTGGTTTTAATTGAATTTCGATAACTGCTGAAAATTGTAGGAATTTTTAAAATTCGTACAGTTAATATCCAGGGCTGAAATTTTGAAATGTTACCATTCTCATGCTGTAGTCTGTGATATAAAAATTTCATAGGTTAATTCATTAATTTAATCTGGTTACTAATTTATGCTCGTTTGTGCCATAATCTTGCTCGAATTTCATAAAAGTCTATTTGTAACTATTAAAAATTCTTAAAATTGCAATTCAGTGCTTGAAAAAAATCAAATTTCCCAACTGAAGTCCACAGCTCCCAAACGATTTCCAGCTGTCTCCGGTGACGGCGCTGGCCACCGATCTCCCGCCCAGCCCCAAAACATGGAGTTCGACTGGTCGCCTCCATTCCTCAACTCCGACGACCTGTTGCAGGAGACCAATTAGTACCGTCTTCTATCGGCGGCGAGTGGCGGACGACGGTCGAAATTTGTTGGTCACGACCGGAGGTGACAAGCGCAGGTATTTGCAGACTGAATATGTGATGTGCTGCACGAGGGGAGAAAACGAAGGAATTTGCAGAGGTCCGGCGACGGAGAAAGTGACGGAATTGGCAGATGTCCGGCGGCGTCGTGATAGACACGAGGGGAGAAAACGAAGGAATTTTTCTTATAAAATACTGATAAATGATAATATAGAATGATAATTTTATTACATTCAGGTCTTATTCCTTCTGCATACCAAACACATCAATGGTAAAACTTGTTTCATTCCTTTCCCATATTCATTCCATACTTCAACCCATTTCATTCCAATCAAATTCCATTCCATTATACCACTCATACAATTACATATGTTTAATTAGGATTATATATTGGTTTAATTATGTTTACATGTACTTATACTTGTTTTGCATTAATCTAGTTTTCTAATTACGTTGTTATATATGCAGTAGTGACTTGATGATTAGAAAACCAAGTTTAGACAAAACATGTATAACTAGGTTTTGGGTACTACGTCAGCATTTTTGGGGCAGCTGGTGAGAAGCGTGTATCGTTTTGCAAAAAATTGAAGAGCGTGATATTCTATGCAAAAATTAAAAGGTTGTGATTAATTTGGAATCACGATAAATGTCGTGATATTAGGCGCAATTTTGCCATAGATGGTAAATACAGCTCAGCAAGCGAGGTGTCGTTTTGGGTGCCACGTCAGCTTTTTTGGGGCAGCTACTGAGAAGTGTGTATCGTTTTGCAAAAAATTGAAGAACGTGATATTCTGTGCAAAAGTTAAAAGGTTGTGATTAATTTGCAATCACGATAAAGGACGTGATATTAGGCGCAATTTTGCCTAAACATAATTAAACCAGTATATAATCCCAATTATAGACTAATTAACAAAACCCTAAACCCTAAATTCTAAATGTAGAATAATTAAAAATCGTGGCATATATGACAGTGTAATTAGGAAACTAGATTTAGGCAAAACATGTATAAGTACATATAAAAGGTTTAAGAAAAACATGTATAACTACATTTTGGATGCCACGTCAGCTTTTTTGGGGCAGCTCGTGAGAAGCGTGTATCGTATTGAAAAAAATTAAAGAGCGTGATATTCTGTGCAAAAGTTAAAAGGTTGTGATTAATTTGCAATCACGATAAAGGTCGTGATATTAGGCGCAATTTTGCCACATATGGTAAATACAACTCAGCAGATGAGGTGTCGTTTTGGGTGCCACGACAGCATTTTTAGGGCAGCTGGTAAGAAGCGTGTATCGTTTTGCAAAAAATTGAGGAGCCTGGTATTCTGTGCAAAAGTTAAAAGGTTGTGATTAATTTTCAATCAAGATAAAGGTCGTTATATTAGGCGCAATTTTGCCTTTATATGTCAATTTCGTCAAATAGTAATTCATATTTCGATATGTGAAAATCTCATAACTTTATCCATCGTGCATAAAAAGTCCGTCGAACCATAAAAAATAAAATTTGGTGTATCTTAACGGTAACTCCTATTTTTTAAAAGGATACTGATGACAGTGATAATGGTATTGTAAGTTTTTTAGACTTCATTGTATTAGTAACATATACATATTTACTAATATATATATAGGGTCACGTTCCAGTGAGAATGGTGCTCAATGAAAGAAATAAGAATAAATCTCAACCATAAGATCGGATGATCCAAGAGCTAAAAAAATGTCAAAATTATACCTTCATTAGGGGTAATTTAGACATTACCATTACACATCACAACCCACATCACCATGCCACATCACCATACACACACCTAACACACACAACGCACGCACAAACACACATCAGCACACACACAAACACATGCACACACTCTGCACACACCTCTCTCTCTCTCATACAAACACAGACACACACACGCAACAACACACACACACACAGAAGGCTAGTACGGCGCACGCCACCGGCCACTCTCACAGCACCGCCGCACCCACCGATCCGGCCGCCGTCGCTGCTCGCCGACGGTCGAGAACGCCGGTGCCGTCCCCGACCATTTTTATCCACCGACCCCCGCTGCTAAAATCCAACGAGAAGTTCGTCTCCTCCGGCGAGACACACGGCGGCACCTGAACCTGACGGTCGGCAGAGGTCAAACCGGCAGCGTCGGAGATGTCCTCATGGCCGGCGTCATGGAGGTTTGTTCCGTGCAGGACGATGACGCACACACACCATACCTGCACACAAAGAACGCACACACCCGCACCTGCACACACACGCACCCAGTCTCTCCAAACACTAGACCACCGTCGTCCAGATGCCACCGGAAAAGACACGGCAGAAGACACACACGTGACCACACGCAAAAGACACACACACACAGTCTGACCACCCATCCCCCGACCCAGCCGGCAGCGCGGTTACAGCCGGAATTCGAACACCGTTGCAGTCCCAAAAACCGCCGTTAGCCGCCACACACACACGAACACACACGTGTGAACACAGAAGTAAACACACACATATACACACACGAACACACCGAATCGGATTTCCGGAATCTCCTTCGAATCAGAGATACCCAATCTCCGTCGAATCGGATTTTCCCAATCTCAGATGACGCCGATGATTTTCTCCCCCTGCGGAAGATGGAGCGGTGTGCGGGACTTAATTGATAAATGCTAGGGATTAATTGCAGTTTTGAGAATTTGATGAATGCCGTAGAAATTGGGGATTGAGATTGTTTTCTTTTATAAATTTGATGAATGCTAGGGACTTAATTGCAGTTTTGAGATTTTTTAGTATATTTCAATTTAGTATATGGGGTAAATGTGTAGTTTTTAAGAAGTCAAACAAATATTATTGTTTATATAGTTCTTATACATTTATAGTAAATATAACTAATAGATATATTGAATAAAAATAATACAACATATAAAGTTATAAATATTTTTTTATAATATAAATAATCAATTATTTAGAGTATTTAAGTTAATTTATTTAGCCAATTGATTAAATTGATTATTTGGTACGGTTTTATATTGGATTTGCACATTAAAAAAATCTCTCTGCAAATTGCACCTTAGTGAATATCAGGTTGCACAACAGTGTTAGAATGAATGCACATTAATGAGTTTGAGAGCGCACATTAGCATAACAATGTCTTCATTTTTTGCAATTATTAAAGTTTATGTCATATCAATTATTAAAATTTATATTATTTCAATGCAGTTTCGGTTTTATTTACAGAAAAATAAAAATAAAAATGAAAAGCCAAATAACATAATTGATTGAATTATATAAAAAAATATTATTTGTATATTATACATGGATATATATTATTTATTTGAAAATCAATAACATAAAGTATTAAATAACTAAATATATTTTTTTATATAAATAATTTAATAAATGCACAATAATGTTAATTAAAATACATTTTATGTTTTTTAAATGAAATGCACATTAATGATCGGTTTTAATTTGGTTTGGACAAAAGTTTGATCCGCTCACACTGCACAATTGCGGGTGAAACTGTGCACAAAAGTACAGCACAACAGCAGCAAAACAATGCACAATAGTGATATACAAATTGCACTTTAATGTTCGTCTGATAATACATAATAAGCTTACACTAAAATGCACATTATTATCTGTGCGAATGCACATTATATGTGAGAATGCACATTAGTTTCGAGATTTTTCATGACCAAAAATGTACGTTATAGAAATATCTCATAAATGCATATTAATGATAAATAAAGTGCACTTTCAATGTTTAAAATTTTTAATATATAAAATTTTATTATTTAAAAATATTAAAAATAATAAATATATTTTTATAATAACAATAATAAATACACTGCGATTGCACAAATAGTATTAGACGAATTGCACATAATAATCGAACTTGAATGAACTAAAGATTTCGTTTCGAATATAGAAATATCTCATGAATGCATATTAATGATAAATAAAGTGTACACTATTTAATAAGTTTTAATATGTAAAATTTTAAATATATAAAAAATATTGTAATAACAAATAGACTTTTATAATAATAAATAATAAATACACTGTTATTGTACAGTAGTGTTGGGCGAATTGCACTTTAACGACTAACGAGTTTCACCACAATGTTAGACGAATTGCACATAATGACCGAAATTGAATGAACTAAAAAATTTGTTTCGAACTCGTATATTTCGGGTCGATTATCTATTTTTATTTGTAAAATATTAATTATATAAGATCAATATGAACATTATTTTGTTAAAATAGCCAAAATAATCAAATCGGCTAACTATATAAAAATAATACATATATATAAATATTATTTATTTTCAGCTAGAAAAATATAAAATATTAAATATAAATATTAAAAATACNAGAAACAATATATTAAACCTCAAAGGGGAACAACGTTCGAATACAAACGAGACCAAAGGTCTAATGCGCAGAAAAAGCCGAAAATTAAAAATGGGAGGACACGCTTACAAAGCGGCCTAGAGACACCAAATAAAAAAGAAGAAAGGAAGCACACCACTGCATCAAAGCCTAGCGTACCCACTAACTTCCAAAGACTAACTAAAACAAAGCCAACACAAAACAAGAGAGCAACCAAACTAAATGATCAAAAAAGACCAACCAAACTAACAGAACAAAGACACCAACATAACAGCCACACTACCACAAAACAGCAACATATACACTACCAAAACAGCAACACATCACAGCAACCAAAGGTCAAGACCTGACTGCTATCCATTCTTGCCAATCCTTGAGAGCCCTGCTGATAAGAACTTGGACTGGCAGCTTTACCTTCTCGAATACCCAGAGATTTCTTCCCTTCCACAACCACCAAAGAAGGTAGGTGGTTAACTGGATTCTTTCTTCAGCAACTTGGGTGTGCTTGATTGAACAAAGATGCCACCACCAGACTCTGAAATTCATACCTGCTGTGCATACTTCATGCCATTGTATAGGTCCCTGATGCCATAGCTGCTTAGCCCTGGAGCATTGGAATAAAACGTGTTCAGTAGTTTCAGGAAACTCCCCACAGCAGTGACAAAGTATATCCACAGGGATGCCTTTCTTGCACAGATTAGTGTTAAGGGGAAGGGTGTTAGTTATGCACTTCCAAAGGAAATGTCTAACTGTACCCTTGATTTTGAGGTTCCAACTTCTGAGCCTAGCTTTTTTAATCAGTTCTTGGCCTTGGCTAGCTTCTGGGATATCAAGTTGCAGAGTTTTTTGATTGATCAGGTAAGTATAGGTGGAAGAGACAGTGAAAATCCCTTTCTTGTTTAGACACCAGAAGTATCTGTCCTCTCTAGCAGGATTTAAGGTCTTGATGCTTAAGATGGCCTGGCTTTCCTCTTCATTAAACAGTTGTGTAACCAGCCATTCATTCCAGTGAAGCCCATCATCTGACAGGAGCTCCTTCACCCAAATAATATGCCCCTGTGCTATGTCCAGCAATTTAGGTTTGATAAGAGGGAGAGCTGGGATCCAGTTCAGGTCTTCAATTTTAGTAAGAGCTCCATTTCTGATTTCTGTTCTGAGACCTTGTTTGAGAATAGGTAGACAGTCCAGCCAAGTGTGCCATAACCAAGAGTCTTGCATAGATTTTTTTGCTTCAAAGATAGAACAGTGTGGGAAGTACCTATCCTTTAGGACCTTGCTCACTAACAAGTCAGGTTGTGTAGCAACTCTCCACAGCTGTTTACAAATAAGAGCTTTGTTGAACAGACTCACATCCTTGAAGCCAATTCCTCCATTTTCTTTGGGCAGAGATAACAAGTTCCAGGCTTTCCAATGGATACCTCTGTCTTTAGTATCCCCTTTGCACCACCAAAAGAAAGCACTGAGGCTGGCAATTGCTTTACAGGTGGCTTTAGGCAGTTTGAAGCAGGACATGGTAAACACAGGTAGTGCATCAATGACAGCCTTAAGGAGGGTTTCTTTCCCAGCAACAGATAGCATCTTGTTCTTCCAGCTCCAAAGTTTAGATTTAACAGAGTCAAGAACATAGGAGAACACCTCAGTTTTGGATCTGCCAATCCCCAATGGAAGTCCCAAATATCTTGTAGAAGTATGAGGTTGAATCCCATTCATGGCAGTGCAAATCAGACTTCTAATGTGAGAGCTTGTATTCTTACTGAAAAAGACAGATGACTTTTGAAGATTCACTCTTTGCCCAGTAAATAGTCTATATCTCTCCAGAATGTTCATGAGTTCATTAGCATGGCCTTCATTAGCTTTACAGAAGAAAAGAGCATCATCTGCAAAAAATAAGTGTGACAGGGCAGGGCCATTTCTAGAAAGCCGAATCCCACTCAAGCTTCCTCTTTGAAGACCATCAAAAATTAAAGCAGATAACATTTCAGTGACTATAATGAATAAGTAGGGAGAGAGAGGATCTCCCTGCCTTATACCTCTTGAGGGATAAATTATGCCACTCACAGAACCATTAATGCAAACAGAGAGGGAGGAAGTAGTAACACAGACCATAAGCAGCTTCACAAAGTTATGACAGAAACCCATCTGGAGCATGATTTTCTCAATACAAACCCACTCCACTCGATCAAAAGCTTTCATAAGATCCAATTTTAGGGCCATAAAACAATTACTCCCATTCCTGTGCCTATTAAGGTAATGAAATACCTCTTGGGCCAGGATAACATTATCAAGCAGCTGTCTGTCTTTAATGAAAGCAGATTGGCAGTTACTGATACAAGAACTAAGGCACACTTTCAATCTAGAGGCCAGCAACTTAGAAAGCACTTTGTAAATAACAGAGCATAAGGAGATAGGTCTATAATGATTCAGAGCTGAAGGATTCTTGCATTTGGGAACAAGGGTAATCAAAGTGTGATTCCAATATTTTAAAATCATACCAGAATTAAAGAAACTTTGAATAGCCTCAACAAAATCAGATTCAATAAGATACCAGAAGTGTTGATAAAAGAAGGCAGTCATACCATCTTCACCAGGAGATTTATCAGGATGAAGGTCAAAGAGTGAGCTTTTGATTTCTTCTGGTTCAAATGGCATAAGGAGCTGCTGATTCATTTCTGGGGTAATTGATTGAGGAATGAGATGCAACATTGATTCTCCCCCCCAAGAACCTTCAGAAGTAAATAGAGAAGAGTAGAAGCTGGTGACATGCTCTTCAATCTCAGGTTTTGTGGTGAAGGTTCTGTTGTCCTCTGAGACCAGCCGAGTAATAGCATTCTGCCTTCTTCTTTGAACGCAATAAGCATGATAGAACTTAGAGTTAGAATCCCCCTCCTTGAGCCACTGGACCCTTGCTTTTTGAGCCCAAAACTTCTCTTCGAATGAATAAGCTTTGTCCAACTCATCTCTAAGATATTCCCAAGAGTCCCAATTGTCCCCTCTGCCTTCTTCTCTGAGAGACTCCAATTGAGCAGATAAGTCTTCAATCCTGGCTTGATTCTGGGTTTTAAACTTAGAGCTCCATAGAATCAAGGCCATTCTGGTTTGTTTCACCTTTTCTTTCAGCCTATAGAAAGGAGTCCCTGATTGGGACTGAGACCATGCATTTTGAACCACCTCAGCAAAACCTTCCTTAGCAGTCCATCTCTTGTCAAAAATAAATCTTCTCTTCTGTTTCTGTGGAGTTTGCCCTGAGTCCAGAAGGATTAGAGAGTGATCCGAGGCACTTTTCACCACATTCAGAACTTTGGCATTGGGATTAGAGCTCAACCATTCAAGAGAACCAAAAGCCCTGTCCAACTTCTCAGCCACAAAATCTGACCCAGATCTGTTATTCCACCAAGTGAACTGATGACCTACCATAAGAATTTCTTCCATTTCCATCTGAGAAATAAATTTGTTGAAACCATCAAAGCTTCTGTCAGGTCTGAGTCTTCCTCCTTGTTTATCCTCCATGGAACATATGTCATTCCAGTCCCCAACTGCAAACCATGAATCCCCCCAGGAAATTTTATCATCTTCCAGCTCCAACCATTGAGATTCTCTAACTGTTCTATCCACACTCAGGGACACAAAAATCCCCCAACCATGATCCACATTATGGAATTTAAAATGAACAGCAATATAAAAGTCCTTAGTGATCATTTGGACTATTTCCACATCTTGTTGCCAGAGAAGCAGAAGGCCACCACTAAGCCCCCTAGGATCTACAATAGCATGCCTCTCTTCAAACCCAAGCTTTCTACAAATAGACTTCACATAGGTAGTAGAGTGTTTAGTTTCTGAAAGGAAAAAGAACTGCGGGTGGTGAGTCCTAAAAGACTCTTTGATTTGGGAAATTGTAGAGGGCCCACCCAGCCCTCTACAATTCCACACCGCAGCTAACATTTGGAACTTGGGTGCCACTCTAGGCTGGCATCCCCCACCTTATCCAGAGTCAGCTTAATCTTTTTAGTCTCAGTGTCAATCTTATCCTCCTGCTGCCTTCCCTCAGACTCCAAGTTAAGTTGTTCTGATCTGTCCTTCTTGGAGCCTGAGACTGATTCATCCATCAGAGAGCTATAGGATTGTCTCTGGAGTCTACCAGTCTTACTTGTTGATCTCTTCCAAGTGGACATTTTGACAGTTGACAGCTCTTTAGAAGGTTCCTTAAAAGGTAATGGACTCAATTTCCCAGAATAATTGGGGATAGCTAATTCAATTTCCATCAATCTATTATCTTCTTGACCCAGATGGTCTTCAGCAGTGATGTTCAGAGGTTGTGAAGGTTGAGAGGATACCTGATCTGATAATGCCAATTGGTTGTGCTGATTATGTATACGGTTATCTGAGGTAGAAGGAACAGTGTCTGGTTGTCCACTTCCCACCATTCCCACAGTCACGTTGATAGCCTGACTTCTCTCCCCTTGAAGATCAGAGGAGTTGGTTGGGTGGGTATTGGTTTCTGCAGAAGAGTTGTTTCTAGGAGGTGGTGATGGCCTTGAGCTAGATGGACTGAAGCTCTGCCAAGATTGACTCTCCTCCACTTTAAGCCATTCCCCATATTGACCATCCTTTAGCTTTTGAGTTTTGATATCATCGAGTCTAGCCTCACAGCATCTATCTAAATGGCCAATAAGACCACAATAGTAGCAAAGGTTTATCAGTCTCTCGTATTTGAACCCCACCAATGCAATATCGTCTCCAAGTCTGATTTTAGAACATCTGGGAATAGGCTCAGAGATATTAACAGTGACCAGCAGACGATCTTTCCCCCATGAGCACCGGCATTAACTACAACCACGTTCTTAACCTCTTGGAAAACTGAGCCCAGCTTAAGCCCCACTTCTGCACTCAACCAGTCTAAGGGAAGATTAGTTACCTGTGCCCAAATGTTCAGTTCCTTAAAACTGGGATGATTGCGAGTAAGACCCTTTTCCCATTCTCTTAGAATCAGATACTGATTATCAAATATCCAGTTCGTCCCATTGAGCACCCTCTTCTTGTCTTCTCGATTTTGGAACAGGAACTGGAAGAAATTATAGCCCAGCTCTTTTACTTCCATTGGCTGTTGGAGCTTCCATATGTTGTTCATTGTGCGCTTAATACCGATCCAACTAGCTGTACGGTCCCCAATAATCTTCCCGAAGAGACTACGACTACACTCTTCAGCACTGAGACGAATATCTTCCTGCTTGATGTTAGTGACGATCGATTCTCTTGACGATAGCGAAAAGCCTTGTAACCTATTTGCCAAATCCTCGTCGCGTCCAACACAATTAGACTCTGCCATGGCAAGGATAACTACACTACCGGTAACGCTCAAAATGCCTTACGATTGAAATTTAGAGATGAAGAAAACTCGATCTATCCCATGAGAGATAATCGCCAGATCCCATGAGAGATAATCGCCAGATCCCGACTTTTTTAAATTACTATGGTAAATCTATGCGGTGATATTTTGGTTATTTTGGTTAAATTTTGAACAAATTATTAAAAATTATATGCGATGACATTTTGGTTAATTTTTGAACTTTTAAATATGTAATCGGTCATAATTCATTAATTTCGTAAAAAAATATTACATTAATTTTTATCGTACGGTAAATCTTTTGCATCTTACGTAACATTATTGTACATTTATATTTTTTATTAAATTAATGATTTGCCTCATGTACCTAATTGTAAAATTAAAAGTTAATAAAATTATCTAATTCACCACAAAAGACCCAACACCAACAACCAACAGTACAAACCACTGTATTAACTGGGCATTGTTGTGTGTTTATATATAAACCGAGAGTTTATGAAGTTTAATTTGCTTTTGNATTTGTTTGAAATTTCGTTTAAGTCCTATGCCTTATCCAATTTACAAATGGAAGCCCACATTTACAACTTCGTTTTTCCGACCGTCTACCATACCCCAGCCATCTCTATTGCCGATTGCCGAGAAACTCGTTCGGCGGAACTGCCCGTAGGCCCAAATTGACCGAAACTTGCCGGAAAACACATTAGATCGAAGAAAACCGGCGCCGCCACAAGTGCACCAGCAAAGCTTTCTACTAAATTCGATTAACCAGAACAAAAGAAATTAAAAACTTTGATAAGCATCGGAATTTGAATAGATTTTTTCGTTAAGTCGCGACTATGGTAGAGATGCGACTGGAAGAGTGCGAAAAATCTCGACTAATTTTTTCGAAAGCTGTCCTTGGGACACAATAGTCGTTATCGGAATGGTCGGCGGCGGTGAGCTCATGGTCGTTGGCGGCAGCGGTGGGTGCGACATTGGGAAGGAGAACTTTGGTGTTTAGAGATGTTCAGATGGAGGCGGATATGTGTATGTGTGTGTGAGAGAGAGAGGGGGGACGACGGGACATTTTTGCCGGAGCCTGCTTGGTCGCATCCATCTCCGGCGACGATTCACGGAGGCGCGACAGTGAAGCGAGGCGGCAAAGCTCTGTTAGTAATGAGACGTTGAAGTGCGGCGCCGGCGATGAAGCGCGGTGGCGGCGCGACGGTGAAGCGAG